GGGTAGGGTTTCGGGGCAGAATGCTTGCTATTATATTACTAATTGTTTTTATTTTCTTAGGTTAATGCCTATCTTCGATTATTATTTAGTTGTTTTTTTTATTATTGTGTGCTTGTTGTTGTAGCACAAATTATTATTTTTTTTACCGAGTACCGAATAGAACGATTCGTTCCCGGGGTCGATATCTTGAGGAAGACGGTTCGTAATCTAATATTGGTGTTGATAACACATAAAATGAAAATAAAACCTAAACACTCTAATGAAGATGGATGGGAAAATGATTAACTAAGATAGCAACTAAGAAATAACAATAATCTAAAAATATAAATGAAACAATGATAAAGAAACTAGGGAATCGGGAATAATCACTTCCGATTCTACACACATTTAACGTCAATCAATAACTCGGTTAAATGGTTCGACTAATTAACTCATTTAGCGGTTTAACCTCAATAACTCTCTTAATATGAGGATAAACCTAAAAGAGCAAATCAACGAAACAATTAACACATAGACAATACGTCTCCGAACATGTCTACTCTAAACGAGCCAAGTTCCATCAACTTCTCCCCTCTCAGTTTTGAAATCGATTATTTCTACGACTCCTCCCCTTTCGGTTCTACGAGTCGAAATTCGTAGAATTAACAAACTCTCACTCAATAAATCAATATTCAAGCACAAATCAAAGTGTCACTCTCTGATTTTATCAACAAATTAACCTAAGTGTCACTCTTAGGTTATAAAAATTTATTAAGTCTGATTTTATCATTTCATAATTAAAACAACTCGTCAAGATTGAGCTACTGTCATGCACATAAACGAGATTAAACCGGAAAGATCATTCTCTACCCCTAGCTATAAGATTAGCTACTCATACTTGATTCAACACAACAAAATATTTATCCAAATTCAACCATTATTCATGAATTAAACAAGAAGAAAAACTTACATTTAATCTCAATCCAAGTGTTGCATTCAAATACAAGCTTCCTCCTTAATAGAAAATGAAGAAAAATACAATAAGAAGAAAAGAAAATAAAAGAAGAAAAGAAAAAGAGGGAAGGAATGGGAAGAACCCCTCTTTCTTCAATGCATGGAAGGTGAAAAATGAGGAAGAAAAGGATGATCTTCAAGCTTAGAAATGCTCCTCTTTTATAGCCAAATGATCCCCCTTCTTGCTTAAGATTAATATAGCTGAAAATGTCACTTTGTGGTGTCTTTCACGCCATTGAAGAAGATTGAAGAGATTGGGTATCAACCATCACTAAAAATGAGCTTAAAAATCATATTGGCAGAAAAAGGGGTAGTAGCGTCGCTACTAGGGGTTAGCCCCGCTACTATGCCGACAGAGGAAAGGTTGCCCCTGACGCTACTTAGCTAGCGCAGCTAAGGTGTCGGCAGCTTGCATGTCATCATGTTTTTTGCTCGTTCGGGCTCGTTTGGACTCGAAATTGAGTTTCATTTTTTTCTACGCGTAGCTAACTAACCCCTCTATCCAATGATGCTTGCAAACCACACTTTTGCCTAGAATACAAATTTTGTGGAATTTCCAACCTTTAAAGGGTCGGTAACTTGCTCAACTTTACGTTTCGGCCCCGTTTGGATTCATCCGAACTCGAAATCGAATTCTGCTTTTTCTCACTTGTCGCCAACTAACTTATCTAGTTAGTTGTTCTTGAACGGTCGAGTTCCGAGCTTAATCCAATCCTCATGGGATTTTCGACCTGCACACCAAAAACAAGAAGAAAACGAGAAAAATATACGAAAAAACACATGAAAACCAAAATAGATCAAAACACATAATAAATCATAAAAACGAATAAAAACCAATAAAAAACCAATAAGCGATAAGTTGGCTTATTTGCCTACCAAACATAGCCATAAATTCATCCAGTAAAGCTAATCAAAAGTCAAAATTAACTTAATTTTTACTCAATTCATCACTACACATCACATAGACTTTATTTCATTATTTTTTTTACTCACATAATTTTAACTATTTCATACTTTTATATCAAATCAATTTTAAATATTTTAAATATTAATTTAATATAAACTTAAATGTTTACCGACAATTAATTATACTACATTTTTTAAAATTAATTATAATTTTTCCAAACAATAATTAATAAAGTAGCGAGTGGAGTTCAATAAATAATCATAAGATATGGCACACAGCTAACACCTACACTGTCACATGTGCCTCTTTTTCGCAATTTCCCTCTCTTCAAAAGCAAGCAAAAGACGGTACTACACAGAAAAACAAAACAGAGTGTAATTTGTAAAAGAAGAAGAAA